AAAATTAGGGTTAAGACTGCCTTTAACATCTCGCATTTCAGTCGTATGACAAAAAAAGGACTATTGATCTCTTGGAGAAATTTTACTTTCAGGATTTTCATAATGTTTAATAAATGTATTGAGAAAAAAGAGCTTTTAATGTAAATGATTCTTGCTGTTTGTTTGAATTTTCGAATGTGTTTGGTTTCCATTTGTAGAGAAATTTTCATTCAACCACACTCAAATGATAATAAAATAGGTAGAAATAACAACATATAGATTTCTCAAAAAGAGAAAGAAATTAAATGATTTGTCAAGAGGTAAGGGAAATATGTCATCAAAGAGATGTTGTTTCTGTTGTTTCATTTACCAATACAAATTCGGTTAAGGTTGGACTAGTAATCTGGCTGGAGTCGCTCACGGCTACACGTATCTTTAGTTCTCTTCTGTTAAACTCAGTGGAGCTTTGCACAGACTCAGGAGAAAAGATTTCTTTGTTGTTTTCCTTTGTGGAGATTTGATGAACAGTAATTTCATTTTGCTGATCAGTGCAATCATTTAGAATCAGTCTGTCTTTATTAGTACAAAGGTCTAAAGTTTCGTCGGCCTCAAACCCAGATGTTTGTAAAGATGATGTTCGTTCACCAGTCTCTTCTTTCCCTCTATATACAATGCTATAAATACAGTCTTTACTGTCACAACCTAAGATTTCGGAAATTCCGTCATGATCATCACTATTCACGTTTAACATAGACGAGGCAATATCTTCACGTGAAATGACGCAATCAATGACGTCATGAACCTCTGAATATATGAATATATGAAACTACTGTTGTGTGGCTTGTTTTTAATTGTGGGAGGAGACGATATCTTACAAAAGTTACTTATTTCTCTCACAATTATCAGTAGAATTACAAAAGATATTAGTGACCCGGTGGTGTAGATAATTATTGTAAGATTAAATTTAGGAGGAGTCCTATTACCATTTAAAGATACTACACTGGAATTTTCATTTTCAGGTAAATCTGGTGTGTTGATTGATGACATGAACGACATGATAGCAGTTGCAGGTCTAGTGCTAGAACTTCCTTTTCTAGAGACGTCTGATTTAATATGCTCTAATAATATGAAACAGTATTTATTTAAATGCTCAGCATTAGTACTGAAACCTTGCTCAATAAATTTATTAATAATTTATGTAATTAAGTGACGTCAATGAATTTTTCAATTTAGAATGTCAAATATTTTATAGGATTACCTGTTGATTGCATACAGCCGTATATATGATTACAGTGTGTACAGTTACTGCATGTCAGATGACAAAAGGGTCCATAATATGGTTTAGGACAAATATTAAAACAACTAAATCCGAAATAACCGGGTGGACATTCTGAAAAGTAAACAGTCTTTTCATTTAAAAACCCTTTTTAATCTTCAAGTACGTTGTAAGAAGACAGTTTGTCAAATTTACAACAAATGCGTTACATACTTTGCAGATATTTCTCATTTCTTAAACAAAATAATTGAGATTTTATTTAATAGCTTAATCATGTACTGTTTACAACCTTTACAGACATTCCCCTCCCTGAAATAATTAACACAGCATGAAACATCCGTCTTCCATGATCCTTAAAAAAATAAAAATTTAAACCTTCCTTTTATAAACATGAAAAATATAAATCAAATTGAAGAGATAAAAAAAAATCTTCTTACTCAGTTTGACAACTTTTTACTCCTTTTCTTTGAATGCAGATGGATATCATATAACAAACAAGTGCGAAATATCTCGTCATTCTTGGTGGTAGGATCATGAAAATAGCAAAGCACAAATAATAATTCTGGTCTATTTTTCAAATCAAAAATCATGTACAATTTTTTTTTTCATCGCTAAAAGTTTGCAAATTTTTATAGTAAAATTTCCTGTAGATAAAGGAACAAAATTCAATATTAATTCATGATTTACTTCCTTCGAGAAAGTGTTACATGTAGAAAAAATTTCAAGGAAACTTTTCAATCTTTCATGAAACAAAATCTGAAATGTTTCTGAATACGTGGTCACGCGTAACATTTTATTTCACCAATGATGTGTAAACAATATAAATTCCAAGAAAACGGTAGAGATTGATACTAAGAATATCTTGAACAGCCATAAGAAGGAAATCACGACATTAAACAACCAAAAAACACACTATCTATTTTGCAATGAAAATGTGCTGATTAACATGACTAACAAGCTCCATGGAATACTAAAATCATTACTTTATAACTATTATATCGAAGCAACTTGCATTGAAGATGTAAGCGCTGTTATATTGATCCCTACGAAGACAGTGTAGACATTACTTAGGATAGTATCTATGAATATCATTACATTGCAATCGCTCACGACATCTTTTTTTTTTGTTTTTCCCTTAGAAATGTTAATCTTTTTCAGTATAAATTTATACGCCTACATGTAATATGTTGTCTGTGTCAAACATATATTACCCCGTGGGGATCCGGGTAAGAATAGGTCCTCAGTACCCCATTTCTTGTCATAAAAGGCGTCTAAATGGGGCGGTCCTTCGCATGAGACCGTATAAAGCGAGGCCCCGTGTCACAGCAGGTGTGGAACGATAAAGACCCCTCCCTGCTCAAAGGCCGTAAGTGCCGAGCATAGGCCAAAATTTGCAGCCCTTCACCGGCAATGGTGACGTCTCCATATCAGTGAAATATTCTGGAGAGCGACGTTAAACAGTATACAATCGACCAATTAATCAAACATATATCTCTGATATTTTTGACATACCACTTTAATGCATTGATTATAGTCACACACTAAGAGCTTGGAAACGCCAGCTTTATCATAACGTATAACGTTTAACTTAGATGAGGCAGTCTCAAAACCTGAAATGGCACCATCGCTGACGTCAGACACCTTTGAATATATTTTGTCAATGAGAGCGCTGTTGCAAGTACGTGCTTTGTTATGTTTCTTTCTAGGTGAAGACAGCATCTTGTAAAAGTTATGTATCTCTCTCTAGATTATAATTAGTAGAATCAAAACAGATATTCGTCATCCGAAATATTGATTATCATAAAATAAATAATAGATAATTGTTGTAAGATCAGCTTTGGAGTTAACTTGTTATTTATATTTTACATGCTTAAATGTTTACTATTAAACACATCTAATGTATTTTTATTTACATGAACGAGATGAGAGCAGCCGCAGGTCTAGTGTTAAAATTTTCTTTTCTTGCGACATCTAGATTTGTTTCATATGCTCTAATACTGTGAAAAGGTAGCACAGTGTACAGTCATATACATGATTACAGTTTGCACAGTAACTGTATTTAAGAATACGTAATGGTCCGTAACATTGAATAGAACAAATTTGAGAACAGTTAAATCAGAAGTATCATGGTGGGAATTCTGAAAAGCAATTTTTTTCTTATATTAGGAATATTTTCTCGGAATTGTTTGAGGACCGTTTGTCAATTTTTGATATTAATGCACATACATTTTTTTCCATTTGTACAAAAAAAATTATAATTAATCCTCTAAATTAGGAATAGTATACAACCTTAACAGATATCCCCATTCCTGTAAAATCAAAACATCACGTCTCTGATACATCGTATTCGAACCTGTTAATACCCCCTTTTAGAAACAATTATTTATTTCAGTGTTAGAAAAACAAAATTAATAAATATTAATATTTTACGGATTATAGCTATCTACGCCATTTCTTTGACTGTAAATGGGAATTATATGACAAAAAGGTGAAAAATGTCTTGTCATTCTTGTTGGAAGGCTGATTAAATCAACACAATTATAAACTTCGCTCTATTTTTAGATTAAAAAAAGCATAAACAACTGTTACTCCCAATGCAAAACTTTTGCATGTAAAATCAATGTATTTAAGTAAAATTTCCTGCTCAGTAAGGATCAAAATTTAAAATAAATTAATGATTTACTTTCTTTTATGGCGTGTCAGAAAAAATATGGACAATTATCGATAAAAAAATTTCAACATTTTTAAAAAGAAATTTTGAAATGTTTACAAGGAGATTGCTGCATGTACATGTATTCATTTTTTGAACCAATTTTTTTTTTTAAAACAACGCGAAGGAAACAGTGGATATTGATAAAATTTATTCTTTGAATATTATTATATAAAGAAATATGCAGAAATGTAACAACCACATCACACACTATAAATTTCGCAATTAAAAAATGCTGACTAATATGACTAACGATCTCCAAGTAAAACTTGTATCAATACATTAGTATTGTTATAATTGTAGCATCTTGAATTTAAGATATAATCTTGTTTTTTTATCTCTATGAAGTCAGCATATACTGTATGGCATCTATAAACTCCAATAATTTATTGCTCAGCATTATATTATAAGCTAGCTAAGTGGCAATTGTTTTGGGCATATATGGTATTTATGATAATTAGTAAGAATACAACAATAATTGAACTTATTGTCGAGAAGCAATTATTATGATCTGTGAAAGGGAACAAAAATGTATAATGATCAGCTATGGGGTATCCTATCTGCAAACAAATACGCAGTTCGAAGCATTACTCACGTTCGTTAGAAAAGCTTACGTGAAATTCAACAAAGACGAATTCCTTCACCAACTATAAAAATACATTATTGTACAATCAAGTTTATTAGAGAAAAAGTGTTATTGCACTTTATTTTTTTCTTCATACATGTAGTATGCTTTCACAGCGTTGAATTTGAAACAAAAATAGATTTATTCTGCATTAAATTTCAATTATTCTGCCATTCAGTCACATGAAAACATTTATAAGGACAATTTTGCCTTGGACTTTAAGGTTTTTTTCTCTTTTTTGTATGATATTTAGAACATATCGAGAAAAATTCAAATTTATAATGTAGATAATTTTGGCTTTTTTGTATAATTTTCGAATGTGTCTGATTTCAAGTACAGTGTAATAGAGAAATTTCCAAATCCATCCTACTCAAACAGTGATACATCGGATAAAAATAACAACATGCTTTTCACCAAGAGAGAAAGAAATAAAATGAAATGTCTATAGGTAGGGGACATGTCATCAAAGGGATGTTGTCTCTGTTGTTTCATTTACCAATACAAATTGGACAAACGATGTACTAACATCCTGACTAGTGTCGCTCACAGCAATCTCTAGTTCCCTTCTGTTGAACTCAGTGGAGCTATGCACAGACTCAGGAGAAAAGATTTCTTTGTTGGTTTCCTTTGTGGAGATTTGATGAACAGTAATTTCGTTTTGTTGATCAGGGCAATCATTAAAAACCAGTTTCTCTTTATTAGTACAAAGGTCTAAAGTATCGTCGGCCTCAAACCTAGATGTATTGTAAAGATGATGTTCGTTCGCCAGTCTCTTCCTTCTCTCTAAATACAGTGCTATTAATTCAGTCTTTACTGTCACAATCTAAGATTTCGGAAACTCCGCCGTAATCATTACTATTCACGTTTAACATAGACGACGCAATATCTTCACGTGAAATGACGCCATCACTGACATCAGACACTTCAAAATATATGTTGTCTACAAAACCACTGTTGTGTGGCTTCTTTTTAATCGTTGGAGGAGACGATATCTTGGAAAAGTTACTTATTTCTCTCACAATTATCAGTAGAATTACAAAAGATATAAGTGATCCGCTTGTAAAGATAATTATTGCAAGATTAAACTTAGGAGGAGTCTTATTACCATTTAAAGAAACTACGGTACACTGAAATTTTCATTTTCAAGTAAACCTGATATGTTAATTGAAGGCTTGGACGACGTGAGATCACTTGCAGGTCTAGGTCTAGAACTTCCCTTTCCAGAGTCATCGGATTTAATATGTTCTAATGATATGAAACATTATTCATTAAAATATACAGCATAAGCACTTAAACATATCTCAATAAATTTACTAAAAAATAATTAATGTCAATGAATGCTCAATGAAAATTGTCAAACACCCTATATGATTATCTGTTGGTTGTGTACAGCCGTATACATGATTACAGTTTGTACAGTCACAGCATGTCAGATGACAAAAATGTCCATAATATGCATATGGTTCATGACAAATCTGAGAACAATTAAATCCGAAGTATCAGGGTGGACATTCTGAAAAGTAAACTTCTTATTCATTTGAGGAACTTTTTTAAATCTTCTATACATTGTATGAGTACAGTTTGTCAATTCTACTATAAATGCGTTACATACTTTGCATATATTTGTCATTTCTTACACAAAATAATTTAGATTACTTTAATTGCTTAATCAAGTATTGTATACAACGTTTACAGAAATTCCCCTCCCTAAAATAAATAACTCAGCATAAAACTGATCAATAAAGATCTGATAAATAAACAGCTAATTCAAGCATTGCATACAACCTTTACAGATATCCCCTTCCCCTAATGTAGATTTTCCAAAGGTGTTTGGAAAAGTTTTAGAATTCCATGGAATTCCATTCATTTCCATACATAACTCGAAAAGTGTGTCTGGAAGTTATTAGAATAATTTGGAATTTGAAAAAAAAAATTGGACTTAGACATTTTTTGGCTAGGAAAGTAGAGGAATTCTTTGGAAAAAATTACAAAATGAGAAGCTTAGCCATTTTCCGCGTTAGAAAGCTGTGGAAAATTACTTAAATTTTTTTAAACTGTCGACTTATAGTACAATAACATCGGGATCGAAGTCGGGCTAGATGAACAATTAATTTTAACAACACGCTGAAATTCAAAAATATCGAATGCCATGTTGATGTCTAAAGAGAAAATGTTGGAAAGACTCAAAGAGAGTGTCACGAACAGGGGAATAATAATTAGCTTGGGATGGAAGAAGATGAGGACATTTTAAGATCCGGTAGGTACAATATTGTACAGTATTTTATGTGTCCCTGAATGAAGAATGCTTCTGCTACTGTTCATTAGTCTGGGAACCATACTAAAATGCCCGACTGTGAAATCGTTAGGACAAGCACTTATAATTTAATTTTGTAATAATTATTTAACAACTCTAAACATATCGTTTAGATCATGAATTTTAAACCGAAATTCCTCCTTTGGAATCGAACTGATGTAAAGAATTTTACCTGTACGTTGCTTTGTTCAAGATAACATTTACAGAGTGTGGTGTACATGTAATTAATCATAATTATATTTTGTAACTTAAATGCATGTTCATGATCATTTTCAGCTCTCATTTTGATTGTTTTAATAGTTCTATCTGTATCTGTATTGGTACATCACAGTAACCCGTTGGGCTTTGACGTGACGGAGAGAGGGCGCGTTTAGTCGCGATGATGTTCCAACGCTGACTTAAAGCTTTCTATCTTGGGAGCGCGGACGACTTCTTCTTCCAGATGGTACCTATTTATCGCAAAGAACGAGTTCTTGAGTTGGTCTGTCTTTGCGTCTGGTATTTCTACTGCTCTGCTGTTATTTCTTATCCTGCTATATATTATATTTGTTGCTTGGTAATCTTCGTACACTTTGGGTCTGATGTTTCTTTTCTGTTTTTGGAATATGATGTATTGATCGGGTTTAATGGCTGGTATCTGCCCCTCAACCACTTTATAGAAAAAGATCAGACGTTGTTGTTGGCGTCTGGTTTCTAATAAGGAAAGGTCAAGTTCTTTGAGCATCTTTGTCATTGTGCCCTCTTCCCTGGATTTATAATCTTTTGTTATGAATCTCGCGTCTATTCTTTGTATGGATTCTAGTTTTGTTGTTTCTTGTTTGGTGTATGGATCCCAGATGACAGCTCCATACTCCATTATCTTACTAGTGCTATATATGCAATCTTTCTACATTCCCTTGGACAATGTTGTAAGTTCCTTCTTAGGAAGCCTAAGGTGGAGTTGGCTTTGTTTGAGATGTTGTTTATATGTTCTTTCCATTTCAGGTCTTCTTGTATTTGGAGTCCTAAGTAGGGATTTGATGCCACTTGTTCTAAGGTGTGGTTCTCAAGGGTGTATTGGCTGTTTATCTTTTTACGTATCATTAATATATAGCATTTCTTTGCATTGAATCTCATACCCAAGTCTGATGCCCACTGTTCCCGTTTTTCGAGATTCTTTTGTAATAGGTTTTGATCTTTATGCGATTTAATTTCCCTGTACAGAAGGCAGTCGTCGACAAAGAGCCTAACTGAATATTTTTACTTCTACAGGGAGATCATTTATGTGACAGAGAAAAAGTATAGGCCCAAGTACTGTTCCCTGCTGTACCCCGGATTCCACACTGGTGTCGTCTGAGGATTCCCCTTCTAACTGGACTCTCATTGTCCTTTTGTAAGGAAATTTGTTATCCAGTTATGGATGTCTCCTCTTATCCCGTATTGATTGATTTTGTGCAGGAGTCTATCATGGGGGAGAGTGTCGAATGCTTTGGAGAAATCCAGGCTCGCTGCGTCTACTTGGTGGCCCTTATCGTAGGATTGTAACATGTCGTGTATGGTTAAAGCGAGTTGGGTTTCGCATGAATATCCAGACCTGAAGCCATGGTTCAAAGATGTTAATATTTTATTGCTTTCCAAATTCTTCATCATTTGTCGACATATAATATGCTCTAGTAGCTTGCAAGGTACTGATGTTAAGGAGACTGGTCTGTAGTTTTCAGCTGCATGTCTATCACCTTTTTTTTTGTAGATACACGATATGTTTGCGCTGAGCCAGTCTTTTGGCAGTTTCCCAGTATCTAGAGAGTCTTGGTATATAATCAACAATAATGGTGCTATTTGGTCTGCACATTGTTTCAAGACTCTGTTTGGGATGTTATCGGGTTCGGCTGCTTTTGATGGATGGATGTTTTTCAGAAGTTTTACCACGCCTCCTTCCCTGATGATGATTCTTTTTATTCCTGATTTGAGGTTAATGTTTGTCGAGGGCCTTACTTTTATTTTTTCTTATGTGAAGACTGATGAAAATTGTACTAAAGGGATTTTTGCTTTCTCTTTGCTGTCGTTGATTAAATGCCCTTTATCTTTTAGGGGTGCTACTCTGATGGTATCCTGTTTGCGTGATTTGACATATTTCCAGAATGGTTTTGAATTGTTCTTATCCATGCCTTCTAGGATTGTTGTATTTATGTAGTTCCATTCTGCTTTCCTAATTTGTCTTTTGCATTCTTTTTGATGGTGTTTGTAATTTGTCCATAACCCTGTTCTTCTTGCTTGGTTGTAAAGATTTTGTTTCTTTTTGATCATCTTTTTGATTTTGTGGTTAATCCATGGGAGCCTGTTGTTAGATTTTAACGTTTTTGTTGTTACGTTATCTTTTAGGTTGGTAAATAGATTGGTTTTGAAGGTTTGCCACATATTTTCGACATCTTTTTTCTTCGTCTCCAAATCAATCAGTAGGTCTTTTGTTGATAAGATTTTTAGAGTGTCATTGGGATATGATATGAAGTCGGTCACGTGATCAAATTCTATAACGCCCTTTGATCACGTGCCGACTTCATGTCATATCCCATTGACACTCTAAAAATGAATCTTATATTTATATTTTAATTTCTATTCACATTACAAAGACAAAATGCTCTATTTAGACTTTGTTATTGAATGCAACATAACGTTTAAATACGACGTCATATGACTTCAGAGTCAAGACTTTCCAAATGCCTCGTGCAGTTTGCTTTCCATTCGCAAGAAAGTCTGATCGTGTGACCGACTGCATGTCATTGTAAATTGAATTTCTTTTTTTTTAATATTGTCATAAAAGGAAAGACATTGGAAAATGTAAATATAGTAAAATTTCCTGCACATAAAGGATTAAAGTTTCATATAAATTTATGATTCACTTCCTTTTACAACTTGTCGTCGCCCATATGGTGCATTTTGTTAGATTGTCTGCTCTAGAGCTGCGACGTAAGGAGTTGAGTGTTCGCGTTTGACTGTGGGGCGTGGAGACCGTTCGTTGCAGTAAGTTCGTGCACGAAAAAAATGCCTTAATGCTCAATGGCCGTTAGTGCCGAGTCGAGATTAAAGTTTGCAGCTCTCAATCGGGAAATATGAGTGGTGGCGTCTCTATATCATGAGTGGAAATCTCGAGAGGGAATTTTAACAACAATCAAACGACTTGTTAGAATTTATCAAGAAAAAATATTTTTAAGGAAATTATGAAATGTTTCTGAAGATCTTGTTACATGTATCATTTTATTTATCCATTTATATTTAATCAGCGCCAAGTTATTATTAAGAACACAAAGGAGATTGATTCTATGAATACTTTGAACATCAATAAATAAGAAAACATGACAACAGTAAGCAAACAAAACATATACTATTCATTTTGCAATAGAAATATACTAAGATGACTGACAAGCTCCATGAAATACGTAAAATTTGGGTTAATTTTTGAGGGTAGATAATGTATTTATAATAAAAATGGCATGTGGGATTTAATTCATTCTTGTTAACAAAAAAGAATCCCCACAACTCGTAGTTTTAAATTTGCTTTTTAATATCATAATTATTTTTGTTCTAAATCAAAATCATAACTTATAATTTCAAAAATATTTCTACATAATAAAAACGTGCATGTTCCATGAATTTTTTTTTTTGTCTAAAGGACTTTTGTGTAAAAAAGACCTTTTTTAATATTGAATATTTTATGGAATACTTAAATGTATCCCAGTAGAAACTGATCTACCAAGATTTATATCAAGCCCACAGACAACACATGCAGTTTGACTGCGAACTTCTCCCACATACATGCGTCTCGTATTTGTTACGTACCTTTGAAAAAAAACCTTACACGCAATCCTAGGCAACATATCAGCTCTGTTTGTTTCCAAAATTCATAACAAAAAAACATATTAAGTTAAAAAACACAGATATAAATCTTTATCTTTGAATTAAAAAAAAATATTTATAAAAAAAAATGTGCACAAATTAAATTCCTATGTAAAACCTCATGCTTTGAGAAAAAATCACGAAACCTAAACTTTTTCCCTTCAAATTACATGTTATATTTTATTGTGTGTTGATTAATCATTTTTAACAAGTTGACCCTTTAATCAAAAATTAGGGTGAAGACCGCATTTCAGTCGTATGACAAAATAAGGACTATCGATCTCTCGGCGAATTTTTCGTTTTACTTTTAGGAATTTTAATGATCTTTGATAAATGTATTGAGAAAAAAGAGCTTTAAATGTAAATAATTTTGGCTTTTTGTTTGAATTTTCGAATATATCTGGTTTCAATTTAGAGAGAAATGTTCATTCTACAACACTCAAATGATAATAAAATAGGTGAAAAAACAACATATATATTTCACAAAAAGAGAAAGACTTTAAATGAAATGTCAATATCTAAAGGAAATATGTCATTAAAGAGATTATGTTTCCGTTGTTTTATTTACCAATACAAATTGGACAAATGTTGGACAAGCATCCTGACTGGAGTCGCTCACAGCTATCTCTAGTTCCCTTTTGTTAAACTCTGTGGAGCTCTGCACAGACTCAGGAGAAAAGATTTCCTTGTTAGTTTCCTTTGTGGAGATTTGATGAAAATAAACTTCACTTTGTTGGTCAAGGCAATTATTTATAAATGTTATTTTCTCCTTATTAGTACAAAGGTCTACGGTATTGTCGGCCTGAAACCTAGATGTTTATAAAGATAATATTGGTTTGGCAGTCTCTTTCTTTTCTCTAAACACAGTGCTATAAATACAGTCTTTACAGCCACCCTCTGAGTTTTCGGAAACTCCATCCTGATCATTACAATACACGTTTAACAGAGATGAGGCAATTTCTTCATGTGGAATGACGCAATCAATGACGTCAGAAACCTCTGAATATATGTTTTCTACGACACCACTGTTGTGTGGCTTGTTTGTATTTGTGGGAGGAAACAATATTTTGGAAGAGTTACTTATTTCTCTAACAATTATCAGTATAAGTACAAAAGATATAAGTGATCCGGTTGTATAGATAATTATTCTAAGATGAAATTCAGGAGGAGTCTTATTACCATTTAAAGATATTACACTGGAATTTTCTTTTTCAAGTACATCTGATATGTCGATTGATGGCATGGACGACATGATAGCATTTGCAGGTCTAGTGCTAGAACTTCTTTTTCTCGAGACATCTAATTTAATATATTCTAATGATATGAAACAATATTCACTAAAATGAACAGCATAAGTACTTAAACATTTCTCAATAAACTTATTGATAATTCACGTAATTAGGTGATGTCAATAAATTTTCAATGAAAATGTCAAATATTTGACAGGATTACCTGTTGATTGCGTACAGCCGTATATGTGATTACAGTTTGTACAGTTACTGCATTTCAGACGACACAAGTGTCCATAAGAAAGTTCAGGACAAATTTGAGAACAATTAAATCCGAAGTATCCAGGTGGACATTCTGAAAAGTAAACTACGTCTTCATTTAAGAACCTCTTTAAATCTTATACATTGTACATTATATATACTGACATGCAAAAGAAACGTAACACCCTACTTTGAGGGAAATAATTATGTAAAGTAAAGAATTTTGTATCTTAAAATTATGGATATCTTCAATTTGGTAAATATCGATAATTTAACGGTTAAACGATTTTCGTACCATAACCGGAAGTCAAGTTTGAGTCTGCTCAACAGAAATCAAAAATTGCATGCTTAACAAAACATTTGGCAATATTATGGGAGTTTTAAGGGTTTATACTGTTCATCTTTAGTAAAACAGCAATATTTCAAAAAATAAAATCTCCTTTTGTTTCCCGTTACGATGCTAAGGCTTCTCGAAAATGGCTTAAGTAAGCATTTCCATTGCAGTAACTGGAAAATCTCAACGTAAAGGTGATATGGAGAGTTGATGATGCAAAAATACACTGCATTATGCCTTAAAGGGGTCTCATGTATCATATGCATAAATGATAGTCCTTGGACCGGAAGTCCAAGGGTTACTACAATGCGCCAAGTTAGAGAAAATTCGACCTAATCATCTCAAAAACAGGCATTTAAAAATGGCAAAGAATAATTCCTTATCCTCAGATATCGATATTGATTAACCTATTGTATCGTAAAAATTAAGCTGCAATTGCTGTTTAGGATAGTCTTGCACGTTGTAATTGAATGGCTGGGAGGGGGTGTTTTAACAGTCATATGTTACTTAGTAAAGTTAAAAGATAATCATTTAACATCTTTATCAAATCCCTGATGTTCTGAAAAGTGAGTTTAGCCTTACTGTATTCTTTTTTGAAAATCATTAGATAAAAAATTCAAACCTTTGTAGATTACTGCTTGTTGCGTTTCTCTTGCGTGTCAGTATACTTTGCATATAACTTTTATCATTTCTCACACAAAATAATTTAGATTAATTTAATAAATAATCATGTATACTATACAACCTCTACAGACATTTCCATCTCTAAAATAATTATGACAGCAATAAACTGATCCATCCTGTCTGCTCCTAAAAAAATCGAAGTTTAAAAATCTGCCTTTTTATAAAACTTTTTTTTGAAAATTTAAATCAATTTGAAAAAATGAAAATAAAAGTCTTACCCAAATTGACAACTGTTCACTCCGTGGCCATCTCTTTGAATGCAGATGGAGACCAGATGACAAACAAGTGCAAAATATCTTGTCATTCTTGATCAAAAGATCATGAAAACAACACAAATATGAATTATTCTCTTTTTTTAAATTCAAAAATGCATGAACTGTTACTTTAAATGTTAACAGTTTGCAAGTCAATCAACTTTTTATAGTAAAATTTCCTGCTCATAAATTACACGTATTAAAGGATCAAAGTTTAATAAAAATAATAATTAATTCCTTTTAAGCATTTTCAGAATTTTTTTTATAGATATGATTTATTTATAACGAATGTATCATTTTATTTCATCAATAATAATTAAACTAAGCAAGGGATACACTGGAGATTGATACTATGAATACTTTACACATCCATAAAGAAGAATACTAGATTAATTTGGCTGAAAGGTTCATGGAATACTTAAATCACTAGTTCATTACTGTTATTATTCAAGCAACTTACATTGAAGATGTGGGCGTTGTCATATTGATCTATATATAATAAGAGTATAGGATGGAAGGTATGGATATAATTGCATTGTGGTCGCTCACGATATCTATAATATCCACTTACTCAGCATTATATATACTGTAGGCTACCCAGCAAAAGATCGAACTCTGGCAATTTTGTATATAGTGTATTTAAAGTATTTAGTAAGAGTACATTTATCATGAACTTATTGTCGAGAAGGAATGATAATGATCAGTGAAGGGTTCAGGATGTGTAATTTTCAGCAATGAGGTAACATATCTGCAAACAAATATGCAGTTCAAAGCATTGCTCACAGATGTTAAAGAAGCATACTCTATATTCAACAAAGAAAAATTTCCTCAATAACTTCAAAAGATTTTCAAAGGTAGATACAATCAATTTTAGAAACTATATACACTACTAAGTCCAAAATATACTGACATTCTCATTTTTAGTGACAAACTTAGAAAATTACTGACAATCCACTGTCTTTACTGCAAAACTTAGACAATAACTACATATTGTCGCATATCTGCGGTGATTTTCTTTGATCTTTGTGTGGTGATATATCCCATATCACATATGCGATAATACTTTCCACGCCCCTTCATATATCACTGCAGGAGGCAGAAATCAGGTCATGAGAAAAAAAAACTAATTTTATTTCACAAGTTCATAACTACAGAAAAATGAAGATGTTAAGCTATTTCTAAGCCTTTAACTAAATTAAAACACATGTATTTAACTCGGTTGAAAGTTCCCAGTCGTTCAAAAGATTAATCTGTTTTGAAATTTTGAACGTTACGGAAAAATCTCCAAACTTTATATCGTTAAACTTCTTGATATTTGCTTCTGTGATTTCACATTTGTCGAGTGCTAACCTCAAAAATAAATAGTCAAAATCTTCAAACTCAGATAAAAAGTCAAAGACAAATTCACTAAGAACGTCCGACACGTTGGAGAGCTAGCTTGAAATGAATTTTAAGTTTATGACTCTGAATATTTTTTTTTTAATTTTGACACTCTCAATGAAATTAACGTCATTAGACATGCGACAAGTTGCTTACATCATAGATGCCTCGTACTATTGGTTATATTGTTTTCATGGGGCGTGGAAATCTCGGACGCTCCACGACCTCGATTTCCACGCCCCATGAAAACGATATAATCAATACTACTCGGCTTCTATGATGTAACCTAAACATACTAGTGTTTGTATGGGGAAATTTTCATATTTCTCACGAAATAAACTAGTATTTGAAAATATGACAAAGTATAAACGTAAATCGCCAGTCATGTTTTATGTAGAGAACCTTGAATAAGTTTCTTATCAGCAATATCAGTAGATATCAGCACTACCCAGTTATATGAAGGATGTTAATATTTTATGGAAAAAATAATCATATTTCACAATATTTACATTTGCAAATGTTTTCCTTTATATAACACTACTGAAAGCAAGCGTTTTTATAACTGTGTAAATACAGGTATAGGGTCAAGAGGTCATAGATGTGCGTTTGGATAAACGTTCGACGTAATCTCTTTGTGACGTCATAAAGGGTCGACGCGCGTTTAGTGGATTACATACATGCGTTGGGTTTAAAAAATAACGCATTTCGCACGTTAAAAATAACAATCAGGCAAAATTTAAAGTATGAATAAGTCACAAATGTAAATATAAGTAATAAGGTATCATTTTTTGAGTTTTATTGAGATGTAAAACGGGTTGACACATGATCAAATCTTCCATAAAGCCCTTCGGGCTTTATGGGATTTGATCACGTGACCAACCCGTTTTACATCTCAGTTAAACTCAAAAAATGATACCTTATTTCTTAAATATGTATTAGTAGCTAGGTAAAGATATCACTACAAATATCGTTATTACTTCAGTGCATGTCAGATCAGATAGCAAATTTAAGATATTTTGACTACTAGTATGGACACAAAATACTAAATTGTATTCATTTTTGTCATTGCATTTAATATGTTACTTTATTTTTTTTTTTTCAAATTAGTGTTTTCATCGTGCAACACCATAGATTGAAAAACTGTTACTTCAAAATTTTAATTTTAATTCCATTCAAGCCAATGAAGTATCTAAGTTTATGCAACAAATTCTCATCAAGCCTTGTACAGATTCGAGGCAGTCGCAAGTGATTCATCAAATATTTTTTTTTAAATTATGTTATTTTTTTTCGGTATGTAAATTCTGATCATATGGAACATGGGAATGTATCACAGATATGAGCTATTTCTCTTAGTTTAAGTTCTCTCAGCTTTGCAATAACCCGGAAGAAATACTAAAATAAAAAATAAAAGAAATAAAAATAATAGACGAGTACGAATGACGGGGAATTAGTTTTCGGACTAACGCCCGAGGGGTTAGCCCATTGATATATGGGGAATTAGCTTCCGAGGAAGAGATTAGTTCATTTGACTTACGCACTGGGATCAGTCCATTCACAGACACTTCTAGGGAATTATTCACATTTTACTGCCTAACTTTAATATAGGAAAAAAATCAGTATAATATAAAGAGTAGTAATGATATTAATGTAAAATTTAACATTTCCCTCATAACATTTTGTATATCATTTACACCGCAAGACAGCAATTTTGAGTGTCCGCTGGAAATATCACACAGCTGATACAGTCAGAGGATGTTTTATCCCACTTTTTTAGGCATTAATGGAAAGCCAAAAATGAATTATTTAAAAAAAAACGTTATTATGTTTGATTATGTGTCAATATGTGAGTTTGTACTTCAGCAAAAAGATCCTATCGACTGACAGGGCTTTTTGAAACTCTTTGGCATTAGTAATTTTTGGATACAAGTAAGTAACACGAATGTGTAATTTCTTATAAAAATACACGTGCCTTAATTTTTTTCTCGGATATTTTTGCAGTTGTCTTTTACATAACCCACAGCCATACATGTTTTAGTAACACTGTCATCATTGTCTCTAAAAGACTTCAGACTTGGTCGAAGTGACAGCTTTTCAAAAGCAATGATACCTAACATTGCATGCAATCCAAAAACTATAACAACAGAACGCATTCTATAAAAAACAATGATAAAAGAACATTTGAAGTCATGTAACAAATCAAACTTTCACTTCAAATCATTTTAAACCTTTGTTAATAATTCTTTATCGAGGTATGTTGAATACAATTGTATACAACTTGAACGTAAAGGTAAAATACTAGTTAAAGTCACCAAAACATAAACAGGATACAACTAGACAGATTAAATCAGACGTAGTAACTATGCGATCCATCTTTTTCATACATTGTTTTTTTTTTCTCTTAAAAAATCGGTAGGCATACCAAAAGATGTTCTTTATCATTAGAAAACTATTTGACTGAATTATTTTTATATCAACAATTTAATTCCAATTTATTGACTTCTTTTACCACTTCGCTTTTTATAGTTAACATTTTATTGATCATGATTTATTGATCTGATCCGTTATAACAGTTTGAAAATACTAATATTTCTACACAATGTTGCATATAGTATATTTTCATCCAATAATCTAAATTGTAGTGGTTGTCGGTAATGATAAACATTGTTCTCACAATTTCAGAAAATAAGGTATTCAGTCAAGAACAAGTGTATATGTATATTAAGTGTACAACAGCTTTTATCCGCTTTTATAAAATATAAACTGTTCGTGATAAAACAAGATTTGGTAACATATTTGATTTGTTTCATTTGATACAAATAAAGTAAGGTACCGGTACTCAGTCGAGAACAAGTGTATATTGTATATTAAGTGTACAACAGCTTTTATGCACTTTTATAAAATATAAACCTTTCGTGATCAAACAAGATTAGGTAACATATTTGATTTGTTTCATTTGATACCATAAAGGAATGAAAATATGTTACGTTGAACTTTTAAAATTGCAAGTAAAATGTATTTGTATAGTTATGATAAAAAGCAACAGTGAATTGATAAACAACATTTTATATTATTTAGCAGAAAAAAAATTTTATTTCCTGTTTTCAAATTATGCTATGTTATATTTATCATAATGACTACAATAATTCTGTCCTTTATTCATACTTCATGGTACAAAAGCTTTACACAAAAATTAATATAAATACTGCAGTTCTGAAAACATTTATACCGATACAAAATTGTGTAAAGAACCAAAATGAGAATATTTTTAAGAATATGACATAACAAAATATAGGAATGCACCTACCATTTAAAGAGCAGATAATTTTACATATAAATTATAAAACTAGACTAAAACTGATCATAATGAAAAAAGATAAGTGTTACACTGTAGTCATGTCATAAGAAAAATAAAAAAAAATTCTTAAAAAAAAAAGCAGTGCTAATTCAACCTTTTTTACGATGGTTTATTATTATGGCCATTCATTTCACATCAGCTGCGAGCCGTTAATTGTAAAATAACCATACGGAATATGCAATGCTATGGAAGCCCAAAGTGCAAAACAAAAATAAATGAAGAAAAGGAAAATTATGAAATAAAGAAGCACTTCATTGTTTGAAAAAAAAATGCATTTCAAAAAATCAATAAACATATAATCAAACAATTGAGAGCAAATCCATACGGTACATAATATGAGCTGTACATATTTTTTTTATTTTATTTCACAAATTC